ATATGTGAACTGCTGTATGGAAAGTGAATTCACTCTGTAAATCTTCACCCAAATCACAATAAATAAAATAAAATAAAAAAAAAAAGGGAAAAAAAAGAAATATAACCACCTTCTGTTTAAATGGGCCACTGAGGGAGTAAGTAGCCTGAAAGGGATCAAGATGAGGCAGGACTGTGTCTCCCTTAATTACTAGCATTACTGTTAAGACTGGTCATAATGAGGCTGCCTTTCTTCTGAAGAAAAGTGAGTCAGAAAATCCTTCAAAAGATAGAAATGTACTCTGATGTTTTGAATGCATTCTTTAGCTGCTGTGATCCCAAATATGAAACAGAAAGTAAATTGAATTCACCCTAAGACATTGAAGTAAACAAGAACATTTTTGACCCTCTCTTCCTTCTTGCAGGTACAATATCGAGCCTGGTTTGTATTGCCCGTTTTTCTCCCTTGGCGCATGCATGGAAGGCCTGAATAGTTTGTTTAACCAGCTGTTAGGGATTTCATTGTACGCGGAGCAGCCTGCACACGGAGAGGTGTGGTGTGAAGACATCCGAAAACTGGTAAGCGTCCTCGCTGAGGCCAATCTGCGCTACGTTAACCTTTTCGTTTGGCCAAGATGCTGCCCAAAGACGTTGGAGTTAACAACATCTCCATCACTAACGTAGCTTTGCCCTGGCATGAGCCACCTTAGTTCTGTTTCATGAAGAAGCCACATTGCCCCTTCTGAGTTAAAGAAGCATTGTCCTTTAAAATCATTTGGTGCCTAAAATGAGTTTAAAATGAGCAGCGTAAGTTTACTGGGGGAAAAAAAGAAATTAGAACCTTGATAGAAGGTTGAATCTTCACCTGTGCGTCTGCATGTGTTTGTGAGTGCTAGTTACAGGACATTTCATCATCGCTTTTTACTGATCCACTTGGAACATTCCAGATCCCACTGTATGGGATCCCACCGTCCTTTCTTTCCAATCCTCTTCCCACGCTGTAGGGGCTTATTTTTGCATCAGATATTCATTCATATCCTGTGTTCCGATTTACTGATGGTGCAGTGGGTAAGGCACTTTTGGCTGCTAACCAGAAGGTCGGCAGTTCAAACCTACCAGCTGCTCTGGGGGAGGAAGATGAGGCGATCTACTTCCATAAAGATTTACTGCCTCGGAAACCCAGTGGGGGTTGCTAGGAGTCGGAATGGACTCAGTTGCCATGGGCTTGGTTTGGTTTTGTTACTCTGTCTAGCACCCGTCTTTCTCCTGTTGGGGCCCCTGTATGTGAGGTGCAAATGTTCTTGTCTGGGTAAGATTGTGGAGGTTTTCTTGACCCGTTTTTTGATCACTCAGGCTGTGGGTTGTGGTGGTTGTCTTATTTTCTGCTTGTGTGCTTAACATACTGTTCCTTTTTTTTCATATTATATTTCAAAAAACATAAGCTACCGTGTTGTCTCTCGGGTGTATATTGTAGGCATGGGACGGGAGTGGTAGGGGAATTGAAGGAGAATTAGAGAGGGCATTTCATCATTGTATCTGATTATCTAAATAAATACCTGTCTTTTCACATACTAAACAAAACAAACAAACAAACAAATTCACTGCCATCTAGTCGATTCTGACTCATAGCGACCCCTACTGGGTTTCCGAGGCTATAAATCTTTACAGAGTAGATTGCCCCATCTTCCTTCCCTGAAGCAGCTGGTGGGTGTGAACCATTGGCCTTCTGGTTAGCAGCCAAATGCCTTACCCACTGTGCCATCAGAGCTCCTTATTTACCTACTACTTACTCAAAAAAAAAAAAAAAAAAGAGTTTCATAGAATGCAGAGAGATAATATAAAGAAAAAGGAATAACAGAAGAATGAAAGGAAAGATTGTAAGTGATGAGTTCTACTCTATAGAATGGAAGCCCCATGGAGGCAGTGGTATTTGCCAGTTTTACTCCTGCTGTATCCCAAATACCTGGATCAGTCTGGCACAGAGTGGGCAGGAACTCAATTAATGTTTGTCAAATGAATGAATAAATAGACTCCTACAGGAAATTTTAAAGCAAAAAATTGAGATTCTCTTTGGCAGAATCACTAAGTTCTGGAAAGACAAAGGAGACTAGATGGAGACACACTCTCCCGTAAGGTTGCCTAATCTTCCTTCCAAGGAGTGGCTGGTGGATTTGAACTGCTAGCCTTCTGGTTAGCCGTCAAAGGCACTATGCCACCAGAGCTCCTAGGCCCTATTTTTGAGATAAGGAACCCTGTTGGCATAGTGGTTAAAGCCCTTGGCTGCTAACCAAAAGGTGGGCAGTTCAAACCCACTGGCTGTTGGTTCCACAGGAGAAAGATGCAGCATCAGTTTCCATAACGAGCCATGAAAACCCACATGGCAGCTCTGCTCTGTCCTAAAGGGTTGCTGTGAGTTGGAATCCACTTGAAGGCAATGGGTGGTTTTTTTTATTTCCTTTAACTTTTTATGTGATTTAGGTAAGATTTTACAAAGCCTGTTTGCTTTTTAAAATTTTTATTGTGATTTGGGTGAAAGTTTGCAGAGCAAATTCACTTTCCATATAGCAGCTCACGTATACTTTGTGTCATGACATTGATTGCACTTTCCCACAATGCAACAGCTCTCTTCCCACTTTCTCCCCATAGTTACCTCTTCCCTGTGTCCTTCCCTCCCATGCACTCCTGCTCCCTGAGCTGTCTCCTTGTGCATATATAACCCTTCTATTCTCACATGATTGATTTCCCCAAGGAGTGTATCTACCTTAAGTAAATGTTCAGCTCATATGCCTGTCTTTTGTTTGGCTGGAAGTCACAGATATGGGTTCAATTCCAGACCTGAAGGGCAGCTAGGGGCCATATAGTCTCAGGGGTTCCGTCAGGCAAACCTGGTCCCTTTTTTTTTTCCCAATAGTTTTGAGTTTTATTCCATATTGTTCTCCCTCTCTATCCAGGATCTCCTACATAGATCCCCCTCTGAGTAGTTGACAGTGGTAGCTGGGCACCATCTAGTTATTCTGGTCTCATAGTTGTATAGGCTGAGGAATGCATGGTGTACCAGTCGCTTGGACTAATTGTTTCCATGAATCTTTGGTTTTCTTCATTCTTCTTTGCTCTGGATGACTAGAGACCCATCGTTGCATCTAGGTAGCAGCTTGCAAGCTTTTAAGATCACAGTCTCAGTTTGGCTACTTGCCAAAGTAGGATGTGGAACAATGTTTTGGGTAGTATGTTATGCCAGTTGAGCTTGATGTCCCTTGTGACTATGGTCCCGAGCCCACAGGTCCAACTACTCACTCCTCTGGGTAGCTGGCTGTGGCCAAAAAGTGACTACAAACTTGTCCCTTGTCAGCTCTACTATACACCTGGGAATTCTTACAGAACATATGAATATACTTGTAGAAACCTTGTCTGCCAGCCCTATACGTGGTCAAAGCCCATTTGTTTTACATTGAACAGTTCATACACATTTTGTTTTATGACACTGATTACATTCCCTGCAGTGTTAACAGCTCACCTCCTTCCTCCCTGTGGTTACCCTTTCCCTGTGTCCTTCTCACCTATGCGTTCTGCTGCCCTCTTTTTGAGAAGGGGATTAGTGATAATATTGCTGATTTGCACCTGAATCTGGAAGCTACATTTTGTTGTTTTTGAAGTTATAATTTGCATGGGTGTTCTTACATTTTTGAAGGAAAAATAATTTTGCCACTAAAATTTTTCAGCCCCACTTAATCCTGACTGAGGTCATTTGTGAATAGTCTGTGAATATCTGTGCTGGGTGTCTTAGAGGCTTGGTGGGCAGGACGTTCCTGAATCAGAACCATTGGAGAGATGGTGTGAAGAAGGATGTGGAGAAAAAAGAATCTATTTGGGATGATATGGGACATAGAAAATAATACAATGTCTGTATGTGTGGCTATGGCTGTTTTATCTACAGTTATTTTTGGGTGTGCAGATGTTTTTAACACTCATTTCAGAGTTTCCAATGACCGTATTCACTAAATGTAATTTGCTCTGTCCTAGGCTGTGGTTCATGAAGCTGAAGGACTGCTGGGATACATTTACTGTGATTTTTTTCAGCGAGCACATAAGCCACATCAGGTGATTTTAGATTTATAGACTGGTCTGCAGAAGTGATCACCAGTTAATATGAATGTATGTGAACTTTATATTTCACTAGGGAGCTCTGGTGGCACAGTGCTTAAGGCATTTGACTGCTAACCAGAAGGCTGGTGGTTCAAACCCACCAGCTGCTCCACAGAAGGAAGATGTGGCAATCTGCTCCCATAAAGATTTACCGCCTCAGAAATCCAGTGGGGGTTGCTCTGAGTCAGTTGCTATGAGTCAGCAGTGGGTTTGGTTTTTTTGTTTTTATATTTCATTATTGTAGTTCCATAATATTTAAGAGGCTCTCTTAGTTCTCTAGTGCTGCTATAACAGAAAAACCACAAATGGATGATTTTAACAAACAGAAATTTATTCTCTTTAGTTTAGGTGGCTAGAAGCCCAAAATCAGAGTGCTGGCTTTAGGGAAAACTAGGCTAGAAGTCTGAGTTTAGAGTTCTGGCTCCAGGGGCTGGGTGGAGCCCCATTGACCTTGGGCTTCAGCTCTGCCTTCCAGGTCCTGACTCATAGCGACCCCTCCTTGGGTTTCCGAGGCAGTATCACTACGGAAGTAGATTGCCCAACCTTCCTTCCGAGGAGTGGCTGGTGGGTTTGAACCGCCAGCCTTCTGGTTAGTAGTCAAGTGCCTTAGGCACTATGCTACCAGAGCTCCTAAATCCAAGATAGTCAGGCAAAATGGCAGATTGTTGGCTCACAGGCTGCAAAGGCAACAATCCCAAGATTGGCAGGTAATGTGGCAGGCCGCTGGTTCAAGTCCAGGAACTGGAGATGAAAACCAAACCAAATGCAGGCTCCCATAGGGAACAAAAAGCTAGAGACCTTTCTCAATGCTTCTCCATATGTATTGGAAGCAGGCCACGCCTGAAGGCAACCCCTTGGCTGCTCACAGCAGATCCCCCCATGGAGTGGATTACATCACATCCAGTCTCATCATGGGGAATAACCCCATCCTGCTGCCAGGCCACTCAAAACCCCCGGCCCAGCCAAGTTGACACACAACCTTAACTACCACAGGGGCATTAAATTATAATTACTAAATACCTAAACTTGAAATTAGGGTACATTTGATAATAAAGTTTATGAAAATAATGACAGAAATCTGTTCCTGTTATCTGGGCCATCCTAATTATTGCAATAATGACAGCTGGCCTTTTTTAGCTCTTTCATGGTTCAGGCAGTGTACTGAGAACTTTATCTTTTGAGTTAGTTACTTGCATAGAGAGGACGTGGGGGTGGCATCCTCCTCAATCTTCTCCAGCCTCATGAGGGGGAAACAGTCACCATCAGCAGCTCAAGGCTGATTCTTTTGTGACCAGACATGCCACCACCTTCCAACCTTTTTACCGACTCTGACATCAACTGTCCCTCCCACGGCACTCACTACTTCTCTGCTGGGTTTGTTAATTCACGTCAGTGGCCATATAGAACTCGCAGAGAATACTCATGATTATGGGGTTTTTAGGGAAGAACAGGTGACAGTTTAGGTTCTGGAACATGCTCAGGACACAGTTCTTCAATCCGGACAGTCTCCCCTCTGCTGTGCCCTCAGGCATGCCTCTCTGGCTCTTGGCCTCTCAGCCCGGCCTCTGCTCTGCTCTGCTCTGCCAATAGGTCCACCTAGGCCCACCCTGCTCCTCCAGCAAGTCTCCTGCCCAGAGGCACTCACTTTCTTGCTCCGTGGGCTGGGAAGCCTGCCGCTCTGACGCGTGCCTCTTGGTTCTGCTGCCGCCATCTCTCAGCCGGTGGTCTCTGTCGAAGAGGTCCAGTGCAGGGATCTTGGGTCCAAGGACGGCGTTCATTCCACCTCCAGCTCTTCTCTCTTGATGACAGTGACATCCCCTCTTCTGCCTCTAGGAAGGCTTATGTTAAGCCTAGCAGAATGACGAAACTAACCAGTCCTGACGTTAGAGTTCCATACACCTTATTTCCATGGTCCCACTCCCACAAGGGTGTCATGCACCTTATTTACATTATTAACAAGGTGTCCAATCCCCTTAGTGGGCCACAAGCACTTTACATTTGCATAGTTCCACCCAGTTATCGGGTGAGTGCCACAAAGACCATGGCTAGAAGAGCCATGCCAGGTAACTCACTGCACCACACTATGATATGAGGAAACCAAGACACAGAAAAGCTTAGTTCCTTACCCAGAGTAACGCAGCTAGAACTGCCAGGATTTGAATCCAAACATTCTGACTTGAGCCCCAGCTCGTAACTACTTCTGTTCTTAATATTGAACCTAGTTTAAAATTGCAGTAAACATGTCTCTATGGAAATCTTATCAAACACTGGCATTCTTATGAGGCAGAGGTAAGGCTCATTACTTGACCTCAGCTGCATCCCAGGTTTGTCAGTCAGCTTCAGCAGCTGGTTTCATGCAACTTGATTGAAGTTGTTAGGAGTTAAGGTTATAAATTAAAACACAACTACTAGTATCTTGTATTGGGATGGGGAGCCCTGGTGGTGCAGTGGTTAAGCACTTACTTGGCTTGGCTGCTAACCAGAGGATCAGTGGCTTGTGCTCACCAGCTGTTCTGTGGGAAAGAGACATAGCACTTGGCTCCCTTAAAGATTACAGCCTTGAAAACACTATCGGCAGTTCTCTGCCCTCTAGGGATGCTGTGAGTCAGAATTGACTCAGTGACAGTGGGTTTGGTTTGGTTTTTCATTCAATTGCCCAATGCTTTCTTCTCCTCTTATGTTTCCTGGTTGTTCAAGGATTGCCATTTCACAATCCGTGGAGGCAGATTGAAGGAGAATGGAGACTATCAGCTTCCAGTTGTGGTTCTGATGCTGAACCTTCCCCAGTCGTCAAGGAGCGCACCAACGTTACTAACTCCTGGGATGATGGAAAACCTTTTCCATGAAATGGGGCATGCCATGCATTCTATGCTGGGACGCACACGTTACCAGCACGTCACCGGTGAGTTGCGAAGAAGTGCCTGTATGTAATGCAATCCTTTAAGAACATTTTATTCTAAATCTGAAAAAAGCTTGGTAGATGGATAATGTGGTCATTTACTGAGTGTCCATTGGTCATTGGTCTCAAATCACTTCATGTTATACCTCCCATTATTACACAAGCTGACTCCCTGCTCTCACTTCCTTTCCTGCTAGCTGTTCCCACCTAGTCATTGAGGGATAGTCTTAGTTGTCTGTCTTTGAGTTTGTACCACTTTATGTTTAAATGGAATTTAAGGAGCCCTGTTGGTGCAACTCTGGTGGTGTAGTGCCTGAGGCATTTGACTGGTAACCAAAAGGCTGGCGGTTCAAACCTGCCATCCGCTTCTCAGAAGGAAGATTGGGCAGTCTACTTCCATGGAAATACCGCCTTGGAAAGCCAAAGAGGGGTCGCTATGAGTCAGATCTGACTCCACAGCAATGAGTTTGGTTTTTTTTTGGTTTGGTTGGTACAATAATTAAGTGCTTGGCTGCTAACCAAATGGTTGACGGTTTGAACCTACCCAGCGACTCCTCAGGAAAAAGATGTGGCAATCTGCTCCCATGGAGATTACAGCCAAGGAAACCCTATGGGGTACTTCTACTCTGTCATATGGGATAGCTATGAATTGGAATCAGGTCGACGGCATTCAACAACAATGTGGAATTAAACTTTATGGTGGTCTGGGTATATGAATACATATGTATCTCCCTAGTACCTTGCAGAATTAGTAAGTGCCTAAGTGAACCAATAAAGAAGGGAATGTGTTTGGGTCACCAGTCATTTGTAACTGGAATATATGATTTAAAGAGTGGCACTGTGTGTGATCAGAAAGAAGAGAGTGATTATTTTGCTGATGTTTCCATTGTTGTGTGAATTTATGTATCATTTCATCACTAACTATAGTCATATCATTAATATGGTTGGATTATCTAATATTTTAAGCAATAAAAGATTTGAGAGAATAGTTGTGTAGAGGCTTTTCTTAGTTTAGGAATGGCATTGCATCTTCATCAAAAAGATTGTTTCAAGATCTATCCTGAAGTACAGTGCTGTCAGTGATAGGATAATACCCATACGTTTATAAGGAAGACCAGTTAATAATACCATTATTCAAATTTACTTACCAACCACTAAAACCAAAGATGAAGTAATTGAAGATTTTTACCAACTTCTACAGTCTGAAATTGACTAAACTTGCAATTAGGATGTATTGATGATTACTGGTGATTGGGCACTCTGGTAGCATAGTGCTTAAGGCATTTAACTGCTAACCAGAAGGCTGGCAGTTCATATCCACTGGCCACTCCTCAGAAGGAAGGTTGGGCAATCTAGTTCCTTAGAGATACCGCCTTGGAAACCCAAGGAGGGGTTGCTGTGAGTCAGATCCAACTTGATGGCTGTGAGTTTGTTTTTTTTTTTTGTGATTGGAATGAGAAGTTGGAAACAAAGAGAAATCACCACTAGTTGGAAAATATGGCCTTGGTGATGGAAATGACGCTGGAATTCGCATGATAGAATTTTATAAGCCCAACAACTTATTCTTTGCAAATACTTTTTTCAGCAACATAAACAGCAGCTATACATGTGCAATATGGTGCAAGCCTGATTCAGAAGAGGACATGGAACAAGGGATATCATTGCCGATGTCAGATGGATCTTGGCTCAAAGCAAAGAATTCCAGAAAGATGTTTACTTTTGTTTTATTGACTATGCAAACACATTTGATTGTATAGATCATAACAAATTGTGGATAACTTTGAGAAGAATGGGAATTCCAGAACACTTAATTGTACTCATGAGGAACCTGTACATAGACCAGGAGGCTGTCGTTAGAACAGAACAAGGGGACACTGCATGGTTTAGAGTCAAGAATGGAGTGCATCAGGGTTGTATCCTTTCACCATACTTATTCAATCTATATGCTGAGCATATAATCCGAGAAGCTGGACTATATGAAGAAGAAGGTGGCATCAAGATTGGAGGAAGAATCATTAACAACCAGTGATACGCTGATGGCACAACTTTGCTTGCTGAAAGTGAGGATGACTTGAGGCACTTATTGATGAAGGTTGAAGAACACAGCCTGCAGTATGGGTTACATCTCAATATAAAGAAAACAAAAATCCTTACAACTGGACCTATAAGCAGCATCACGATAAATGGAGAAAAGATTGAGGTTGTCAAAGACTTCACATTGCTTGGTTCTGCAATTGACACCAATGGAAGCAGCAGTCAGGACATCAGACAACGTATAGCACTGGGCAAGTTGGCTGCAAAGGACCTCTTTCAAGTGCTGAAGAGCAAAGATGTCTCATTGAGGACTAGGGTGTGCCTGACACAAGCTGTGATATTTTCAATAGCCTCATATGCATGTGAGAGCTGGAGACGATGAATAAGGAAGACCGAAGAATTGATGCTTTTGAGTTGCGGCGCTGGAGAAGAATGCTGAAAGTACCATGGACTGCTAAAAGAACTAACAAATCTGTCCTGGAGGAAGTCCAGCTGGAATGCTCCTTGGAGGTGAGAATGGCCAGAATTTGTCTCACCTACTTTGGTCATGTTATCAGAAGGGACAATTCCCTGGAGAAGGACATCAAGGTTGGTAAGGTGGAGTGTTGACAAAAGAGGGGAAGGCCCTCAATGAGATGGATTGACACAGTGGGTGTGGCGATGGGCTCAAGTATAGCAGGCGTGGGACTGGGCGGTGTTTCGTTCTGCTGTGCATAGGGTTGCTATGAGTCGAAGATGAGTTGATGACACCTAACAACAACAACAGCAACATACATGTGGGCCTCATCAGATGGTATACACAGGAATCAGACTGACTGCATCGTGGAAAGAGGCGATGGAGAAGCCTAATACCATCGGGAGCTGACTGTGGAACAGACCACCAACTGTTCATATGCAAGTTTAAGTTGAAGGTGAATAAAATTAAAACAAGTCCAGGAGAGCCAAAATATGACCTTGATTACACCCCATCTGAATTTAGAAATCATCTGAAGAATAAATTTGATGCATCGAACATCAGTGACCGAAAACCACAAGAGTTGTGGGATGACATCATGTGTGAAGAAAGAAAGCAAAAGGCCATTAAAAAGATGGGAAAGGAAGAAAAGACCAAAATGGGTTTCAGAAGAGACTCTGAGCTTGGTTTTGCATGGAGAGTAGCTAAAGCAAATGGAAGAAATGGCATGATAAAAGGGCTGAACAGAAGATTTCAAAGAGTGACTTGAGAAGACAAAGTAAAGTATTATAATGAAATGTGCAAAAACCTGGAGTTAGAAAACCAAAAGGGAAGAACATGCTTGGCATTTCTCCAGCTGAAAGAACTGCAGAAAAAAAATTCAAGTCTTGAGTTGCAGTATTGGAGGATTCTGTGAGCAGAATATTGCATTATGCGGAAAGTATCAAAAGAAGATGGAAAGAATACAAGAGTCACTGTACCAAAAAGAATTGGTTGATGTTAAACTATTTCAGGAGGTGGCATATGATCAAGAACCAGTCGTGTTGAAGGAAAAAGTCAAAGCTGCCCTGAAGGTATTGGCAGAAAACAAGGCTCCAGGAATCGACAGGACACCCTCTGAGGTACTTCAACAAATGGATGTAATGTTGGAGACACTTACTTGTGTACGCCAAGTAATTTGGAAGAGAGTTACCTGGCCAACTGACTAGAAGAGATTCTTATTTGTGCCCATTCCAAAGAAAGGTGATTCAACAGAAAGTGGAAATTATTGGAACAGAATCATTAATATTACACACAAGTCAAATTTTGCTTAAGATAATTCAAAAATGATTGCAGCAGTATATTGACAGGGAACTTCCAGAAATTCAAGCTGGATTCAAAGAGAACATGGATGTTGCATCTAATGTTGCTGATGTCAGGTGGATCTTGGCTGAAAGCAAAGAAAACCAGGATGTTTACTTGTTTTATTGGTTATGCAAAGGCATTTGACTGTGTGGATCATAAAAATTATGGATAACATTGCAAAGAATGGGATTCTAGAACACTTAATTGTGCTCCTGAGGAACCTGTACGTAGACCAAGAGGCCGTCATTTGAACAGAACAAGGAGATAATGCATGGTTTAAAATCAGGATGTTATACATCAGGGTAGAGGGCTTTCACAATACTTCCTCATTCTGTACACTGAGCAAAATCTGAGAAGCTGGACTATATGAAGAAGACCGTGGCATCAGGATTGGAGGAAGACTTGTTAACAACTTGCAATCCGCAGATGACACAATCTTGCTTGCTGAAAATGAAGATGACTTGAAGATGAAGATCAGAGAGTACAATCTTTAGTATGGATTACACTTCAACATAAAGAAAATGCAAATCCTCACAATTGGACTGATAAGAAACATCATGCAAATGGAGAAAAGCCTTAAGTTGTCAGGGATTTCATTTTCCTTGGACCCACAGTTAGCACCTGTGGAAGCAGCAGCAAGCAATCAGATGTGGTATCGCACTGGGCAAGTCTGCTGCAAAGGACCTCTTTAAAGTGTCGAGAAGCAAAGATGTCACTTTGAAGACTAAGGTGCCCAAGCCATGGTCTTTTCATAGCCTCATGTGTATGTGAAAGGTGGATGGTAAATAAGGAAGACTGAAGAAGAGTTGATGCCCTTGAATCATTCTGTTGGTGAAGAACACTGAAAATACCGTGGACTGCTAGAAGAACAAACAAATCTGTCCTGGAAGAAGTACAGCCGGAATGCGCCTTGGACATGAGAGTGGCCAGACTTCCTGTCACCTGCTTTGGTCAGAAAGGACCATTCTCTGGAGAGAAATACCATGCTTGGTAAAGTAGAGAGCCAGTGAAAAAGGGGAAGACCCTCAACAAGATGGATTGACACGGTGGCTGCAATGATGGGCTCAAGAATAGCAAGGATTGTGAGGGTGACACACGACCGGGCAGTGGTTCGTTTTGTTGTACATAGGGTGCTATGAGTCAGAGTTGACTCATCGGCACCTAACAACAA